ACGGAGAAGCGCTGCTCCAGAAGAAACGCTTGCATTTCATAACATTATTCAATGTGGCCACTAGAGGGAGGTCACACATAGCTATTCTCAGAATAGTATTCTAAGTTTCTAATTTTTATCAAAGATCTGTCGATAGTACACAAAATTAAGGGAAAAAAAACCCAAACCCTTTCTATTTTTAAGAAGACATACAGTGCAGTCTTAAAATAATAGAGAAAATAATTAAATCAAAGCAGAGGTTTTCAAATGGAGAAAATGAAGCAAGACCCAAGTATATGCTGCTGCAAGAAATGCACTTGAAATATGAAGACATACATAGGTCAAAAGTAAAAAGATAGGCTGGGTGGGATGGCTCATCCCTGTAATCCCAGCCCTTTAAGAAGCCAAGACAGGAGGATTGCTTGGGGCCAGGGGTTGGAGAGCAGCCTGGGCAACATAGTGAGGCACCCTGTCTCTACACACACACACACAAACACACACACACACACACACACAGAGGAATGAACTATTTTGGGGAAGGAGGGTGTTTCTTTTAAAAATTGTGGTAAAATATACATAATATTAAACTGATCTTTTTTTTTTTTTTTTCAATTTTTTTTTTTGAGACAGGGCCTTGCCGTTGCCCAGGCTGGAGTACAGTGGTGTGATCACAGCTCACTGCAGCCTCAACCTACTGGGCTCAAGCAATCCTCCCACCTCAGCCTCTCCAGTAGCTGGGACCACAGGCATGCTCCACTATACCTGACTAATTTGTATTGATTTATATTTTTTGTAGAGATGGGGTCTTGCTATGTTGCCTAGGCTGGCTTTGAACTCTGGGGCTCAACAATCTTCCCACCTTCCCGCCTCTCAGAGTGCTGGGATTACAGGCCTGAGCAACCACATCTGGCTGAAAATGGACTATGTTAACTTTTTTTTTTTTTTTTTTTTTGAGAAGGAGTCTCACTCTGTTGCCCAGGTTGCAGTGCAGTGGCATGATCTCGGCTCACTGCAACCTCCGCCTCCCAGGTTCAAGCAATTCTCCAGCCTCAGCCTCCCAAGTAGCTGGGATTATAGGTGTGTGCCATCATGCCTGGCTAATTTTTGTATTTTCAGTAGAGACAGGGTTTTACTATGTTGGCCAGGCTGATCTCCAATTCCTGACCTCAAGTGATCTTATCATAACCTAGACATTCCTTTCTATAGATAATAACTCTTTCAACCAATTGCCAATCAAAATAGGTTTATTTATTTTTATTATTGTTATTATTATTTGAGACAGGGTCTCGTGCTGTAGCCCAGGCTGGAGTGCAGTGGCGTGATCTCTGCTCATTGCAGACCCTGACTCTCAGTTCAAGCAATTCTCATGCTTCAGCCTCCTGAGTAGCTGGGACCACAGGCGTGTGCCACCACACCCAGCTAATTTTTTTATTTTTAGTAGAGACAGGGTTTCACCATGTTGACCGGGCTGGTCTGGCATTCCTGGCCTCTAGTGATCCACCCACCTCAGCCTCCCAATGTGCTGGCATTACAGGCGTGAGCCACCACCACGAACGGTCACCAATCAGAATATGTTTAAATCCGCCTATGACCTGGAAGCCGCTCTCCTCCTTCCAGTTGTCCTGCTCTTCCAGATAGAACTAATATAAACCTTACATTTATTGGCTGAAGTATTATGTCTC